CGCTGCCTCCAGCCTGCCCTCTTGACAGGCACCTTTCTAAGTTTGGTTGTTAAAGTTTGGGTCTCTTGATGTCAGTGTTGTTGACTCAGTGGTTTGGATATTTGACGCTGTCGTTCCTAACACCACCCTTGTACCTGACTCTCCTGACCTGTCGCCACCACTCATCTGTCTCTTCTCCCCCTCCCCACCACTCTTTCTTTCCTTCTTCTCTCTGTCTGTGACCAAGGTCGGTCCTTCTTGAAACCACTGCATGTCCTCATCCAGCTATTCTAAATACCATATGTAAGTGATGTCATCCTGTCTTTGTCCTTCTTCTGACTTGATTTAGCAAGGTGTCTTCCAGCTCCATCCATGTCTAAGCAAATGGCATGGTTTCATCATTCTTTACAGTTGTGTAGTATTCCACTGTGTATTATGCCACACCTTCACAATCCACTGATCTGTTGTTGATCTAAGATCTGAGTCTTAAGTGAAGCTAGCAAGGGACAGGCTTCCCTGAGAAAGGTATAGCATATGTGAGCACTCAAAGCCTGATCTGAGCTGAGCTCTGCACGTCTGGGTACAGGAGATGATGCCATGGAAGGCAGCCAGTACTGGTGGGGTAATGCTTATGGTGCTCGTGGAGAGAGAGGCCGGGAGAAACAGATCGTTCTACTTACAATCAGCCATGCACGTGTCGGGGCATCTGCTTGATTCCAGGCACTCTCAGTGACCCAGACAGAAGTCCCTTCCCACTGGGAGGTGACAGACTTCGAGGGCAGTCTCAGAGGGTCCTGCAGGCCCTAGGGAGACTCTGCATTTGTCTTTAAGTTAGTGATCTAAGAAGTGTCTCTAAGGGAAGTGCAAGTCTCATTTGATGTAGGAGAAAATAGGGAGGCTCCTTGGCTGATGTTTTGTAAGCTGCCTGAAGTGATTTGCCGAGGAGTTTTGATGGTGAGTGGGGAAAACAAAGCTAGAAGCCGGTCCCCTCGGCTCACCTTGCCGGTGCTACGGAGCCTGGTGCAAAGCCTAGAGCGTCTGGCATCAGTGGCTTTCTGTGGCAGACACCAACACCTTCCTGCTGGTTTTCTTGGTCAGTGTCACCCAGAAAGGCACAGAAACACCAGGCTAACCTGAGGGCTTTTATTCTCAAGACAGTGACTTCAGCAGGGAGGAATCTACCAGCATAGGCTGCAGAACAACTAGAGAGAGCTGGAGGACTGATTTTACTGCCAGAGGAAGGGATGTAACAACTTACACATATTCTCCTAATTTTTTTCAGGAAGCTCATAGGGACCCATAAGGGAGAACATGAGTATACACCATTGAGGATTATATTATGAGCATTCGTTGCATGTGCAGAAAATGCAAAAGCATTTTCATATGCTACTGAAGGTTTTCTAAGGAGGGTTGTGTGAGCTATTGAAGAGGGAGGTGAATGAAGGACTCAGATGTCTAATGTCTGCTGGTCAGTACTGTCTGACCAGGCGCCTAGGGTCCTTATAGAGTAAAGTGTCCTTCTAGGGTAAAGTGTCCTCAAGGTACTGGGACTGGAGCAATAGCACAGCAGGTAGGGCGTTAGCTTTGCATGCGGCTGACTTGGTTTCATCCCTGGCATCCCATATGGTCCTCCGAGGATGCCAGGAATGATTCCTGAGTGCAGAGCCAGGAGTAAGCCCTGAGCATTGCTGGGTGTGATCCAAAAAGCAAAAAAACAGAAAAAGAGTTCTTAAGATGCTGGAGAGATAGTGTAGTGGGGAAGGCACTTGCCTTGCATGTAACCTACCAGGGTTTGATCCCCGGTATCACATAGAGTTCCCCACGCCCTGCCAGGAGTGATCCCTGAGTGCACAAAGCTAGTACAGCCATAAAACAAAAAGCATCCTTAAGACTGTCTCAGCCCAGTGAGAGCCAAGCATATGCAAAAACGCGGCCTCACCCAGAGTTAGTCCCTCACTCCAAACTCCAAGCCGCGGGCCCAGTCTATTTCAGCTTTTTCTAACCCCAGAGAGTCCCTCTACCTTTTCTTTATTTTTTTATTTATTTTTTTAAATTTATTTCTTTATTGAATCACTGTGGGAAAAGTTACAGAGCTTTCGGGTTTAGGTCTCAGTCATGTAAGTATCAAACACATTTCCCTTTACCAATACTTATTTTTAACCGCGAACCCCAATAGAACCCCACCTCCCACCCCTCCCAATTCCTGTGAGGCAGATGAGTTCTAGTTAATACTCTATCTACTTTGACTAGATGCATTGTTTCGATAGAAGATGCACAATTATTGTTTAGAGTTTACGACCCCCGTCCCCCCCAATCAGACATGCTGAAACAGCGTTGTGAAATGATTTGCTTTCTACAACTTGGTTTAAGAATAAAATGATGTCGTGCAGCCGCTATTGTGGCCGCGCGGTTTTGGATTTCTGCTATTTTACTTATTGACCCTGGAAGAATTTCTATTAAAAGTTAGATAGTTAAGAGATTGGTTTCTGTGCCCTGGAGTCGTGGCCGTGCCAGAGAGCCGCTCGTGGGGGGCAACTGGCGACCTCGGTCGGGCGTGAAGGACGGCCCATTACGCCCCCCTTCCCATGAGGCCCCTGCCGCTCCCACCACCCCCGGCTCAAACCTGCTGTCCACAAGGCTCCCGTGCGGCCGCCATCTTTCCCCTCTACCTTTTCAAATCAGAAATGAAGTTGTGAAATGCTTTGAGCCTAGGGAGAAAAGAAAAGTTGCCCATACTTGAAGTTAAAAATTACTTTTCTTTGACCTTAGAAAGAAAAAACAAGTGTTACTGGTACTTAAGTAAGCAAAGCAAAACCGTCACTAAGTCACTTTCCAGTGTCAGTCCCTGGGCCAGGGTTGGAAGCAGCTGCTTGGAGCCCGGAGTGTTGCACTTCCCCGCTATTGGACAAGCCAGACTTCCTTCCCCGGGGGCAGCCCTGAGGCAGGCTTCGGAAGGGCAGAGGCCCTGTCCACTACATGGGCAGGAGCAGGCTCTGGAGGGGGATCACAGACATCGATCCCCAGCAGCCCCCTCTAAAGCGCTGCAAAGCACCAGAATGAATTAATCAGATTTAAGAGCTTTCTACAGATCGACGTTCTGTTTGATGTTCATTTAATTAAGACATTCAGTTCTCACAGAAAATGTGAGGCGTGGAAATAACTGGATTTGGGCCATCTTGTGTAAACTGAGAACCAGATCTTCAAGCCTGGGCCTTTTCACTGTGTCTTCTTCAGAATCAATGTAATGATGTCCTATGACTTCTTTCAATAATAATCACAATGGCCTGCCTCTATGCAGAGGTAGCCCTGCCGAACAGGGCCTGGAGACTGCTAGCCTGGCCCTTGCACCCACTGTGCTGGAGCACGTCAGGCCCCGCAGGTGGGCCTGCTCCTCTCCAGTGTGAGAGGAGCCCCAAATATTCTGTGGTGCACACACGGAGGTGCTCAACTCTCAGCTCCAGAACGGAGAAGCGGGCATTTCTTCATGTTCTTCCCAGCCCTCATGAGCTACCCGTAGAGGCTTATGCTTAGGCTCTCACAACTTTTCTGAGTAGAAAATAATCTATGCTATGGGGCCAGAGCGATAGTACAGAGGGTAAGGCGTTTGCCTTGCACACAGCCTATCCGGGTTCAACCCCCGGCATTGCATAGGGTCCCCTGAGCACTGCCAGGAGTAATTCATGAGTGCAGAGTCATGAGTAACCCCAGAGTATTGCCAGCTATGACCCAAAAACCAAAAACAAGAAGAGAGGGGGAAAAAAAGGAAGAAAGAAAATAATGCATGCTAATTACAGACACTCTGGGACACCTATAATACAAATTGCTATGTTAATGACCTGTCATTCTACCTTCCAGTAACAATCCCTGTAAACATTTTTGTCAAATTCCATCCTGTTCGAGTTTCCAATAACCAAAAAAAGTGAGCAGAATCGCCGTCCCGAAGTGCAGATGAGATTGGAGCTTCAGCAGAGTAGCCTGGACGAAGAGAAGAAGCCCCAATAGGGGCTCCTTACAACTTATTGACTAATCTTTTAGACATGGGACTTCCGCACATTTGGCTAGAGTAGATCGGAGACATGCTTCCTGGCGAAAAGGACTTAAGAGCCGCATTCCAGACCTTTATGCCAAGATCCAGCCTCAGCTGGCTCTGAGGGGCTCTGCCCGGCTTCCACCACCCCACCCCCACTCCCAGTCCAGGTTTCAAGCCACTTTATCACCTCCCCTAGGCCAGACTGACCTTTTCCAACAAGAACCCACCTCATAAGGAAGAAAACGTGAGAAATTGTGCCAGGATTTCAAGGCCCTTTGGCTGCTTTCAGGAGAGCCCTGGGCAAAGCACCACTGGGCCTGAGGGAAGGTTAAGCCCTCCACCCCTGAAGGGCATTCATCGCTCTTCATCAAGCAAAGACTCAACTTCTCCCCAAGTCTCACCAGAATAGATCTGGGGCCGAGACTGTGCTCTTCCATCACAGGACGGTTCCCAGTTCCTCTTTCAGTGTCATGAAAGCAGATGAAACGTGTCACCCCCAAAGCTGTGCGTGCTCTGGAAACGGCCTGACTTTCCTGCCCAGGTCACAGGGAAACTCTGGGTGATTGGCTCTTGGGGCCCTGAGATGGCCTGGCAGCATCCATGAAGCACCTCAGCTCTGAGAGGCCCAAGCTGTATGTCTTCGGGTCAGCCACCTGATTGTCCACCCCCTGGGACTGAGTGTCTGACTCTCTCTGGCCTCTAAGCACTTCCAGGGTCCCCACCTAACCCTGGGAGGGGTGGGAGCACCAGCAGGGGCTGCTGTCTTCACGTGGGAAGCTTAAGAAAGGAGCACCCCAAGAGGGCAATCCATGGCCTGCCTAGAGATCATTGAGTGGAAACGGAGCCTGAGAGCTCTGGACAGGCAGAGGCATCCATGGATCCAGCCTGGACGAAGCAGAACCTGCCACATGGGGGCCCAAGGTGGAACAGGCTGGTTCCAGCCCTGGGGCCTTCCAATTCCTGTCACTCAGAGATGCCCCTTGGTTTTCAGGTATGACAGCTTCGGCCGCCTGACCAATGTGACCTTCCCTACTGGCCAGGTGAGCAGTTTCCGAAGCGACACGGACAGCTCCGTGCATGTCCAGGTAGAAACGTCCAGCAAGGATGACGTCACCATCACCACCAACCTGTCCGCCTCGGGAGCCTTCTATGCTTTGGTGCAAGGTAAGCCGGAGGGTGGGCTTGGAAGGCTGGGGAACAGGAGGGCAGACAGCCCCTGCGCACTCTGCAGAAGCTGTGAAAAAGAAGGAAAGCGTTGCAGGAGGCCTTCCCTTTGCAGCAGGGCCAGCCTGGTGCTGCCTGCCCCTCTCAGAAGCTCCCGCTGCCCCCGTTTCATCGCCTCAGACCATCAGCCCAAAGAGTGGTGCTCCCTGGTTGCCCTCAAAGGCCGTCACCCTGCTAAGCCTTTCTGGGGTTCAAGGGGCCCTGGCCAGGACCAACAGTGAGAATGTCTCACACCCCAAGGCAGGGCTGGACTGTGACGTCCTCCCTGAGCCTCTCAGCAGAACAGCAATTTGGTCTCTGCTAGGAATTAACCCCGCTTCTCTGTCACTATCACGCCATCCTGGCCAAAAGCTTATATTCGAATGTTGGGTGTTTCTCAGTCTTGCCCCGTCTCGTGAATTTTCTGCCCCAGGTGTCTCAAGGGTTTGGGTATTCAGGGAGCTTCTTGCAGCTCAGTGGGATTTGGCAGAAAAGAACCTCCCAGAAGGATGAGGGGAAGTTTGCTTCCTCGTATGCTGCCATGACCTCATGGGCACCAAAGAGGCAAAGGCTATAGGTTCTCAGCAGCACTGGGGCTCAGAGCCTCAAGTCGCAGTTCTGGCTCATCCCGTGTGTCAAGGCCCCTGTTTGCCCTCCTTGGGGAAAGAAAGCCAGGCAGAGCATGGTGAAAGGTGCCAGACAGGGTGCTGGGGGCACATAGGGCCCCGCCCGTGTGAGCAGCGAGGGTCACTCCACCAGAAGCCCTGGCTCTCGCTCCGGAACTGCTTTCTCGGGTTGTCAAGAATGTTTCTCTCCACAGCACAAGAGAGTGACTGATACCTGGTCCTACCCAGTCAAGGCTTAAATTCATTGGTTCATTGCCAGTAAAAGAAAGAATGATCTCATCTATCTGTGAGAATAATTGGATGTGGAGATAGAGTAAAGAGGAGATGCCTAGATCACCCTTGGCCCCAGAGTATAGGGAGGAGGAGGACAGTTCCCTGAGGAAAGAAATGGGGGGGGGGGCAGGAGGAAGAAGATGAGGAAGGGAAGTAATGAGGGGGAGGTGTCCAGGGCCTCGAATGCATCAGGTTTGGGGAGGGGCGGTACAGTCATAGATCCAGATCAGAGCCAACGACACTGAAAACGTGAGATCCCACTATACAACCAGACTTTAAATCTGCCCAAGTGGCAGGCTACGGGCTGGGTGGGAGGTGGGGGGTTGGAAGGAACCTGGGTGGAGGGAAGTTGACACCGATAGAGGAACAGGTGCTAGAACATTCTATGTCTAAAAGTTAACAATCAATAACTTCGTAAATCATGGATTTTTAGTAAAATCAAAACTTTTCATTACAAAATAAGTAAATTCGTCAGCTCAGTAATTAATAGACCCATGTATGTACCATAAATGTGAGTTCAAAATGTGTGGGTGTGTGACACGTGCATTCAGTGGCCAAGAGCTGCCTCCCCAGGTCTCTCCAGCAGACGAACGAAGAAATGGGGACTCATGGATAGGTGGTCAAAATGGTCCCCTTTAATGTGGAGTGTTAGCATACTTATAGAACATCTGAAGGGATTTGAGGTATAGGAAGACACATAGGTGTGGTTGTTTATTTATAGAGGTAAAGCATTTCATTGGAGGCAGTTCTCTTGGGAGGATTAACTCAGGAAGACAGGGACATTTGTCTCCTAGGGACATATAAATGACATTTCTCTTTTCCTTGAGTTGTACATATTAAACAATTAAGTTTGCTTCTTATTAATACTTGCAGGTATTTGGATAGACACAGTAAGAGATATAGGTTCCAAAACTTAATTCTCTGGACTCTGAGGGCAAGCAAGTGTGGAATTTTATGGCAAAAAAATTTTACCGTAAAATCCCAGACTAAGGGGGCCGGAGCGATAGCACAGTGGATAGGGCATTTGCCTTGCATGCAGCTGACCTGGGTTCAATCCCTGGCATCCCATATGGTCCCCCAGGTACCGCCAGGAGTAATTCCTGAGTGCAGAGCCAGGAATAACCCATGAGCATCGCTGGATGTGACCCAAAAAGAAAATTAAAAAAAATTTTTTTTAAATCCCAGACTAAGTTCTCAGGCTGATTCAGCTTATCCTTCCCCATGGGAATCCTGTCTCTTTAGTCATAACAGCTTGCCTCAAGAACATGCTTTTATGCTTTCTAGACTGTCCCGTTTAGATGCTGGGATAGCTTTGCCACTCGCCCCGGGTCCATCCCAGTCCCACAGTGGGACCTCTCTTTATGGGGTGTTAGGAAATATGGCAACGGAAGCCCAAGTCAAGTAATTATGATGGATGCCCAGGAGAAGAAATATTTCAGAGTCAATCAACTCCCAAATATTAGGAACATAGTATTAACAGTCTTTCTGTGTTTAAGCAAAGAACATTGCTCTATAGTAAAACATAAAAAGGCTTTAGGGGAAATATGAAAGCAAGTAATACACTTCAAATTCAGAGTCCAGAATTACTAGAAAGTTTGACTTATAAGTAACCAACAAAATAAATAGCTATATATTTATTTAAAACCATTTTTATCCCTATATAGATTCATGCACCTTTAAGGAAGCCCAAAGATTAGTGTTTCTCAATCAAAGAAGATCTCCCCTTCCCCCCCATCACTCCTCAAGCTCCTTCCCGCCAAGTAACCTATAGCAGCTGGTCAAGACAGGTGTGTCTGGCCCAGTGGGGGTAGCATAAGGGACCGGTCTGAGCCCCAGGATTCTGCCCAGCACAGAACACAGAGTTGCCTCCTGCCCCTTCGACATCTGTCCTCCAGGCCCACTTCTTCACCACAGTCCAAGCTGGCCTCTTACCATACCTCTCAACTGCTCTGAGGATTTTCCTGCACGGCTCATGCAGACTTTCTCATAGATACATTTTCAGTTTGAAAACGCCCCATTTCCTCAGTTTGAAAATATGTTCTCAGTTTAGTCACAGTTTTCCTGATGTGGAGCGGGTGTGTGGACACAAAAGGGCAGCAGCAGCGTTCGGTCTCTCCCGCCACCAGCGTTCGGTAGTCTCGGGCCGTTTTCCCCACCCCGGGGAGGTCGATGGCGATGGGCAGAGGAAGGAAGGAATGAGGGCCAAGTTGGTTGGTGTCAGTTGCAATGTATTCCACTTTCTCTCCATTCTCCTCTGATTCTCCTCCTGCTTCTTCCTCCCTCGTGCTACTTCATTCTCCTCCTCGATCCCTCTTCATTCTCCTTCTGGCTCTGGAATCTGGATCCCCCAGCCCACTCTTACAGCCTAGTTAAATCCCCCAGCATCAGGAGATGGGGTAACAGTTACCCATAGGTATCATCATATAATCAGAGGATGTAAGGTCCTTCCCTTAGGGGAAGCTACTTCCAGGACAGATTCTTATCCAGCAAGACGACTATCCTAAAGGCAAGTATGGGTGTGTTTCTCCTCTCCTTAGTCCAACAAACATATAAACATTCATAATATTAATCATTTTGTATGGACACAGTAAGAGATGCATTGAACTTATAGAATCGCTCTCCTGGGGTCATCTCAATCTCAGACTACAGTGCTCAGGCCAGATTAGTTTTTCCTATCCCTAACAGGGTCATAATCTTGTCATTACTTTTTGGATCATGACAGCATTTGCTCATGACCAAGCTCTCAACTTATAGTTGAGTATCGTGACACTTTTGATGCCAGGGTAGTTCACAGCTTGCCCTGGGTTCATTCAGTCCCTCATCGGGACCTGCTTTTGGGGTGCTAGGAACTAAGGGCAACTGAGGCTTAAGTCGAGAAAGCAGATGCCTAGGAGTGAATAATATTCTAAACTAATTAAATCCCAAGTTCACGGTCACAGTCCTCCCGTTGTTCATCTATTTGCTCAAGCTGGCTCAGTAACATTGTGAGACTTGTTACTGTGTTTGGCATATCGAATACATCACAGGGAGCTTGCCAGGCTTTGCTGTGCAGGCGAGATACTCTCGGTAGCTGGCTGGGCTTTCTGGAGAGGGGCAGAGGAATCGAACTCGGGTCAGCCATGTTGGCTGCGTGTAAGGCAAACGCCCTACCCACTGTGCTATCGCTCCAGCCCAAATCCCAAGTTACAAAAGCATAATATTAACTGTCTTCCTGTAGCTATACGAAAAGGACATTGCTTTAAAGTAAACTATTTAAAAGATATAAGGAGAGGGGAAAGGCAATATTTCACTCATACATATAAAATCATAGATCTCTGAGGAATCTGACCTTACAAATTAACAGAGTCTGATTAGGGGGAAAAGCTGACTATTCACTGGTTGGGGAGGAGAGCATAAGGAAGAGTTTACAGATAAACACAATGGAATGGAAGTGCCTCAAGAGCACTGTGATAAACCTGAGTTCCTTGTGGCAGGGGAAACAGGACATGCCAAGGTTATCCTAAAAATGTTTGGAGCTACATTCCAATAAACACAGAGGAATGGAGATGCTTCAGGAGCACTGTGAGGGGTATCACCTGAAAAACCTAAGCTCTCTGTAGCAAGGGAGAAAGGACAACCAATGTCCTACAAGCGGTGAGAAAAATATGCTTCTGGAAATGCATCCAGCAGGGTTTGGAGTGATAGCATAGCGAGTAGAGTGTTTGCCTTGCATGCAGCAGAACTAGGTTCGATCCCCAACATCCCATATGGGCCCCCAACCACCACCAGGAGTGATTCCTGAGTGCAGAAGCAGGAGTAACCCCTGAGCATTGCCGGGTGTGACCAAAAAAACAAAACAAAACAAAACAAAGCATCCAGGAGCTTAAGACGCAGTCATAGTCAGAAACCTTCAAATCAGAAAAGAAAAGCCACCACTTGGAATACAGGGTGACACGGCGGAGCTGTGATTCCTCCGTGGCACTAAGCTCCCTTCGTTCCTACCAGGCTCCGCTGCCCCTTTCTGCCTCAGTGGAATCTGGGTGGAAAAGACTCTAGCTTCATCTTGTCTGAACTCTAAGAAAAACATGTAAGAAGTAGCTACTAATCAGCATCACCCTTGGGAAGTCACAGCTCCCGTTCGTTACAGGAAGCTCATTCTCGATGGGTCTCTGCAGATGCTGTTTCGTCCAAAGTCACCATTAACGGGCACGTGTGCCTGCAGCAAGGAGCAGCGTTAGAGAAATTGGTGTGGGCTGGCTCACTGTTCAGAGGAGTTAAATACAGAGTGTCCATGAATAATGCATAGCAAGTTTAAGGCAGATTCTACAATCCCTGGACGAGGGCAAGAGAGGAGCAGAGGAGGGAGGGGCCATTGTGATGCCAGTGAACCAAAGTAGATCTGGGAGGACTTCCTGTGCCCGGCACCACCTGGAAGGTGTTCAGCCCAACCCAGCCATGTCCACTAAGCACATACAGTCACAGCCGCCGCCCTTCCGTGCAAAGGCTCTGTGTGGTGCTTCGCACTCACCATCACATGCCGTCCTCTCACGGGCTTAGGAGATAAGCAGGGTCAGATCTCCCTTTTCCAAACAAAGGCGGAGGGGAAAGAGTGCGGAGCTGGTCTCCCTAACGAGTCGGAGAGGCTTTACCTAAGATGGAATCAGCCTTTCGCTATACTTGTCACCTTGGAGGAAGTGGAGTGGAAGTAAAGTCGGTTATTGCCCCGGGATCCTGGGAGGGAAATGCATTGTTGAAACATAGCACTCTCCTCCCATTGTTCATCAAATTGCTCGATCAGGCACCAGTAACATCTCACAACAAATTGTGAGGCTTGTTGTTACCGTTTTTGGCATATTGAATACGTCATGGGGAGCTTGCCAGGCTTTGCTGTGCGGGCGAGATACTCTCCGTAGCTTGCCGGTCTCTCCGAGAGGGGCAGAGGAATCGAACCCGGGTCTGCCACGTACAAAGCAAATGCCCGACCCGCTGTGCTATTGCTCCATGATCACTGAAATTTAGGCATAAACCCAAAAAACAACCTTGGGGTTTTTTTCTCTTTCTTTCTTTCTTTCCTCCTTTCTTTCTTTCTTTTTATTTTCTTTCCTTCTTTCTCTCTCTCTCTTTCTTCCTTCCTTCCCTTTCTTTCTTTCTTTCTTTCTTCCTTTCTTTCTTTCGGGCTACACTGGGTCATGCTCAGGACTGACTCCTGCCTCCGCGCTTAGGGCTTATTTCTGGTTCTCTGCTCTGGCATCTCTCCTGGAGGGGCTCAGGGGACCATCCAGGGCACCAGGATGGAATCACAGTTGACTGCATGCAGGGAAAGTGCCTTCCCCGTTGTACCATCTCTCTGGCCCTCTAGTACAGGGGAAGTGTTGACTGGCCAGAGGATCAACCCGGGAGGGCCTAAGAAGAGAAGACAAAGAAGTGGGACAGCTGGACAAAGACAGAAACCATGGGAAGGGAAGTACAGCACTGACTCAGAGAGGAGAGCTGGGGAGAGAACCCCACGCATTCTGAGCTGAAACCCAACCTGTTTCTTTAGACGCTTCTTTAGCCAGAGATTCAGATCAACAAACAGGTTTTAATCATACATTCGATTTCAGAATGTAAACCGTTGGCCTGTTCCGGTAACAGGTGCATAGGCAGGACAACAGGCACGTGTGACAGCGTGGCCCGGCCTGCCCCCTCACGCACCCCTCTCTGTGCTCTCCCCGCAGACCAGGTCCGCAACAGCTACTACATTGGCGCCGACGGCTCCCTGAGGCTGCTGCTGGCCAACGGCATGGAGGTGGCGCTGCAGACCGAGCCCCACCTGCTGGCCGGCACGGTCAACCCCACCGTGGGCAAGAGGAACGTCACGCTGCCCATCGACAACGGCCTCAACCTGGTGGAGTGGCGGCAGCGCAAGGAGCAGGCGCGGGGCCAGGTCACCGTCTTCGGGCGCCGGCTGCGGGTGAGCCCCACCCTCCTCTCGGGCTGGGTGCGTGCGGGAGGGGGGGGCAGTGAGGAAGCTGCCTGAGGGACGCTCTGCTGGACCACCTCTGCTCCTTAGTATTTTACAAACGGACAAAGAGAATGCCCCTCACTGCCCCTCAGGCTCCTCCTGCCCCTGACCAGCCCCTCAGTGCCTCTCAGGCTCTTCCCATCCCCTGACCAGCCCCTCACTGCCCCTCAAGCTCCTCCTGCCTCCAGACCAGTCCAGCACCCCCTGGGGGGGGGGATAGTGTCACCCACTTCAGGAAACACTGGCTTGGGCCCTCAATTTCCTCCCCTGCAAAAGCTCAAAAGTGAAGTGGGCAGCTCTTGCAGGACAAAGGCTCTGGTCTTTCTTTACAGTGGTAACTGGTCAAAACACCACTGACTGGCTTTCATGTGAGTCTGACCTGGCAGGGGGTTCCTGATATATATATATATATATACACATATATATAATTTTTAATATAATATATAATTTTTGAATGAACGTGGCGAAATTCTTAATCTGGTTTTCACAAAGTTTCCTTGTCCACAAAATGGAAAAGTTGCAACTCACTCTACAGGTTGTTATAGGGCCCTCCCGTTGATCATCGATTTGCTCGAGCGGGCCCAGTAACGTCTCCATTGGAGACTTTGTTGTTACTGTGTCTGGCATATCAAATACGTCACGGGCAGCTTGCCAGTGCGGGCGTTATAGGGATTGGAAAAAAATATATAAAGTGCCTCAGACAGCTTCAGACGCTTAAGAGGTAAAGCCTGTTGCTGGCTTGGGGGGCTCAGGGGGCGGGGGGGGGCACAGTTTGGGCCACATGCAGTGGTACTCCAGGGCTATTCCTGGCCCAGTGCTGCAGTGTATTCCTGGCTCAGGTGACCAGGCGGTGCTGGGTTCCAGTCCAGGGTCCCCACATGCTCCTCAAGGCTGTGCTCCATCCACTGAGCCATCAGGCTGCACTCCACCCACTGAGCCATCTCCCTGCCCCTCCCCCCACATTCCTGTTTTTGCGGTCACTGTTTCTGTTCCTGTCACCAGGGCTGTATACTCTTCCCTAATCAGTACCAAGATGCAGTTTTCCCTTTGGCCCCTCAGCCACCTCCTCCCATCTCCATGCCGAGCCTTCATCCCTGAGAGATGCCATGTCAGTCATTGTCGGGGGCCTGGGGAGGCTGGGGGGTTGGGGGTCCTGCAGCTCAGGCTGCTTTTCACATGAGGGTGCCCCCACTGAGCCTCTTCCTGCCTCACCGCCCCTGTGTCTGCCTTTGCACAGAGCGGCTGAGCAGCACTTCTCTGTCCTCGCGGGAGAGGAGTGAGTGAGAGCCTGAGCGCGGCCCAGCCCCCAGCCAACTGAGGCTTCCTGCGACTCAGCCCACACAGGCATCCTCAGCACAGCCACAGGTGCAGGCCCAGGCCTCCCCCCCGGCGTGTTCCAGCCCCTGCTCTCCAAGAAAAAAAAATGTTCCTTTCGGTGAACACTTCCCCGACAGGCCCGAGAGAATTGTTTCCAGACTCACTTAGTGAGGCAGCGGCATAGACCAGAACACAGACACCCCCTCTCGCAGCTTCATTCCTGCAACCCCTCCAAGATAACACAACTAGAACCCAGAACCGCCTCCTGTGGTGCCTCCTGGGCCAAGATCCACTCTGAGCATCTCGCAGCTGCATGTGGGAGAGCGTGTTTGTCCTCTGAGGCCTCAGGGGATCCCCACCTCAGTTCCCCAGAGCATCCCGTCTGTGTAGGTCTGGTGCCGCCCGGCATGTTCTCTGATTCTGCCATTAGGAATGGAAGCAGGGAGCAGTGACCGGCCCAGAGTCTTCGGGTCAGGTTGGTCTCAGAGCTGAGGCTGGAGTCCTGGCTCCGATGCCTGACCCGGAACCCTTTTTCCACCCACATGTGTGGCTTGGTGTCGTGTCACCTATTCCATCAGCTTTCCTTCCTTCCCGTGTGTCACAAGTGACCAATGCCATCATCAGAAGGCCAGGTTTGGTTCCTGACTGCCTTACACATGGCCTTCAATTGAATGGTTAGAATGACATGGTGTTGGGACTGGAGCAATAGCATAGCGGGTAGGGTGTTTGCCTTGCACGCGGCCAACCTAGCTTCAACCCCCAGCATCCCATTTGGTCCCCTGAGCACCGCCAGGAGTAATCCTGAGTGCAGAGCCAGGAGTAACCCCTGTGCATCACCGAGTGTGACCCAAAAAGGAAAAAAAAAGGGAAAAAAAGGAATGATGTGGTCTTGAAGCCTGAGCAATCCTCCACGAAGACCAGGTCGCAGGAGGAAGTGCCTCGGCCTTGACCAAGAGGCACTCCTGGGGCGACCCCACGGACAGTGAACAGCAGCCTGAGTGCTGTGAGGATTTCCTCTCGGCCGTGTGGACCAGACACAAAGTTTCCCAGGCATTAATTGGTCCCGCTGCCATCCCAAGATTAATGGCGCTCCAGCCGGATAGCCGCATGCCCACGTCCTCCAGAATAGATGGCCACCCGCAGTGGCTGCGTGCAGGATTAGAACGTCAGCCGGGCGCACCTCCCCATAATGGAACTCACTCTTTATAAAGCTGGGAACTTTTTTTAATAAAGAGAGATGTAAAATAATCGCATTGCCCACACTGCCAAGCCCAGGAAGCATTAGGCGGTTCCCCAGTGAGCCAGCTTAACTCTTTTTTATTAATTTTGCTGTAGACATAGGGACCCCTTCACGAGGAGCTCTCCGGGGCCTGAAGTGGGGGTGTGCAGATACCTCAGTCGTACCACCTTAGGGGGCACTCATAGGGCATCCCCGAAAATGCTTCCTGAAGGCCCCATCCTAGCCCCATCCCAGGGGGCTTTCTTTGCCCCCTGCAGAGAACAGAACTCCAGCCTGCGTGCAGTGCCTCTGGGTTTGCCACGGGAATTGGGGGGGTGGGGGGGTAGTGCCACCATTTTCGCTGCAGTGATCGTGTGCTCATGCCTGGAGAGACAGCCTGGTTCTAAGCAGGCCACGCACTCTGAAGCCGTCCCGACCGCATCACTATAATCCTTCTCTGGAATGCTTTGGAATGTGTTGGGGGCAGTGACAGGGTGGGGAGAGACTTGTGTCACCCAACGGCCATTTGCTGCTGTTTCCTAGAAGTGATTCTGGCTTTATTCAGTCCCCTCCGTGTCTCCCCAGCCCCCACCCATCCCATTGGTTCTGCCATTAGAAATGGAGACCAAGATAGTGACTTGCCCGAGTTGCATGGTCAGACCGGTCACCCAGCTCACACTAGTCCTGCCCTCAATTCCTGACCCGGAGCACTTCATACCATCCACATGTGTGGCTCGGTGTCATGTCACATACACTGCCAGCTTTTCTCCCTTCCTGCATGTCACTCTTGAACAGCGACTAACGCCAGCATCAGAAGGAATGTCCAGGTGCCCCCCGAAGGCCAGGCCCGTCCCAGGGAACCAGCATCTCACTCCTGGGGCCAGCAAGAGCGCTGGAGGGGTCCAAACACAGACGGCCCAGTGGGGCAGGGATAGGAATGAGGAGACCCTTGGTGCAGGAGACAGCCTTCCTCGCACCACAGGGATGGCCTGACTTCTCACGACCCTTGGGGAGTCCTGAGCTGTGACTCTGAGGGAGGAGCTAGAACTGGGCGCGGCTGCAGCGGGAGAGTGTGGCAGGCCCTGACCCTGTGCAGCAGGACAGACAGACAGACAGGACAGACTGAGCTGAAGCAGGCACAGCCCCTCCCCCAGGCTCCAGCGCCACCCGCCCTGCTGTGCGTGAGGGAGGAGCAGGAATGGGTGTTGGAGGGAGCAGGGGTGCAGGGTGTGCCCAGAGCCTTAGGCAGGTGGGACCCTCTCAGACATGTGTGGGCACATGGTCACCGTGAGCATCTCACCAAGACCCGGTCACCAGCTACCCAGGAGTTCTGCCCCTCCCGACACAGCCCTACATGGCCCCCTCATTCCCTCCCCACCACACCCCTGCACAGCCCCTTGTCCCCTCCCACAACACCCCTACAGAACTCTTGTCCCCTCCCCACCACATCCCTGCAGGTCCCCATTGTCCCCAGCACACGCCAACACACACCCCTCATCCTCTCTCTGCCACACCCCTGCACAACCCCCTCATCCTGTCACATCCCTGCACAACCCCCTTATCCTCTCTCTGCCACACCCCTGCAAAACCCCCTTATACTCTCTCTGCCACACCCTTGAACAACCCCTTATCCTCTTTCACACCCCTACACAACCCCCTTTTGGTCTCTGCCACACCCCGCACAACCCCTTTTTGCTCTCTGCCGCACCCCTGCACAGCCCCCTTATCCTCTCTGCCGCACCCCTGCAAGCCCCCTTATCCTCTCTGCCGCACCCCTGCACAACCCCCCTTTCCTCTCTCTGCCACACCCCTGCATAGCCTCCTTATCCTGTTTGCCACACCCCCTGCACAACACCTTTTTCCTCTCTGCACACCCCTGCACGCCCCCCTTCGCTGCTCCTCACCACATCTCTGCATGACCACCTCGTCCTCTCCCCACCACACCCCTGCACAGCCCTCTTGTCCTCTCTTCCACATCCCTGCACAGCCCCTTCATCCTCCTTCCACCATACCCCTGCAGTCCCTCCACACGGTCAATAAGCCTCCGTATGTCGGGCCCGTGCAGTCGCCCAGTCTAGGAGGGCCTGTGCTGGCTCTGTTTTGTGCAGGGGTGTGTGTGGCTTTGCCGGGAGCAGCAGCTGGGCCTGGCACTGCCCCTGCCTTCCCCCCCCCACCTCCACTGCTCCCCTCTCACAGATGAGGATGCCTCACTGTGCTGACACGTAGCAGGGCCCAGCCCCTCACTTGCTGTCCTGAGCCCCGGGCCACCTCTCACCAGTAGCCCCGAGACAGGCGGCCTGCGCCCCGTTAACCTTCTCCCCCTCCCTCACCCCCAGGTTCACAACCGGAACCTCCTGTCCCTGGACTTTGACCGCGTGACCCGCACGGAGAAGATCTACGACGACCACCGCAAGTTCACCCTCCGGATCCTGTACGACCCGGCGGGCCGGCCCAGCCTCTGGTCCCCCAGCAGCCGGCTGAATGGCGTCAATGTCACCTACTCCCCGGGCGGCCACATTGCAGGTATCCAGCGGGGCATCATGTCGGAGAGAATGGAGTACGACCAGGCCGGCCGCATCACCTCCAAGATCTTCGCCGATGGGAAGATATGGAGCTACACATACCTAGAGAAGGCAGGTGTCTGTCGGGCAGGGGCACCCAGCCCCAGCCAGCCCAGCCCATGGGCCCAGCAGGTCGTGTCCAGTCCTGACTCACTCCAAAAGGGAAAATCCAGGTTGCTGCCCCAGAGGACCCTGGGGCCCGAAAGGCATGGAGCTATCTCATGCTGCCCCTGGGGGCCCTGGGTCAGGAAAGTGGGCCGTTCCATCCAGGACCAAGGCTGGGAGGAGGCCCAGACACTAACTTCCCGGCAGGCCTGAGGATGGGCTCCAGGCAGAGCCTGGCTTGATTGCGCCTGTGTGTGGTCTGCGAGGGGAGGTCAAGGCCTGAAAGGTTCCCAGGCCCCATCCTGAACCCCCTTTGCTGCTGGCTCAGGCCAGAAATTAGAGACGCAGAGTTGCTTCCCTACCCTGGGATCACAGCCCAGAGGCCTCCCATGCCTCTGCCAGGCCACCTGCAGAATCATGCCCAGAGCCGGGCTCTGTCTCCAGTCCTTGCCACCTGCCGGAGCTACACTGGCCGTGTCAGTCTCCCCGTGCGTGCTGGACAGCACCTCGATCTGGTTCTGTGCCCATGTGCACTGAGACCTCGAAAGTCAGCCAGTGGATAGAGAGAAGCCCCAGAGAGAAAGGGTCCTGCAGGGAGCTGCTTTGTGGAGCCCCGGCAACTCCAGGGAGGACCTGTCCTCCTCTGAGCCCCAGTGCTAGTGCTCTGTGACTCCTCAGAACAGTCATCGTCTGACAGGACCTGAGGGAAAAGTCAGCAGAACATATATATTTTTTAATAATTGTGTGTGTGTATATATATATATAGTTTCTTTTTTATATTGAATCATCGCGAAGTACAAAGTTACCGAGATATTGATGATTGAGTGATTGAGTTTTCAGGCATATGCTGTTCCAACACCAGTATCTTCCCCAGGGCCCACTGGCCTCCACCAGTGTCCCCAGTTTCCCAGTGGCACCGTGTTTAAAGAGGAACCTTGATTCGAGGTGGGGTCAGGAGCGAGAAAGCCGGAGACTGGCGCCAGCTTCCTAAGCCTGGAGTCGCCCCAGGCAGGGTCCTGTAACTGAAAGTGGTTACAGAACCAGGAAAGAGTTGTTTTAGATGAGTTTGTGACTGACCATCGGTGAATGTTTGGTTCGCTTGCCTGTTCCGTTCACCTGGGGTTACATGGAAATTTCTTGTAGATTTTCAAGGTGGGGTGCCCGATAGATAGTACAGCAAGTGAAGTATTTGCTTTCCATGCAACTGACTCTGTTTCAGCACTGAGACCCCCACCAGGAGTGATTCCCTGAGTACTGCTGAGTGTGGCCCAAACCCTCTCGCACAAATATACTGTCTTGGGCAAAGAAGGGGTCACACGTGGAAAGGACTAGTAAGTCCTGCTTTAAGCCTGTGTGCTCCCAGTCTTTTCATTGCCCAGGTCCTCCACCATTATCTTGAAACCAGGGTGGACAGGAAGCTGCCCATATGTCCACAGCAGCCCGGGAGCTGAGATCCTGCCAGGCCCCAGGACTGTGAGAAGTCCTTATGCCTGGGTGCAGTGACAGCATTAGGCACTGCCCAGGGGAGGCTGTGGTTTGGGCATTGCTCAGGAGAAAAGCACCCTAGCTTCCCGGGTCTCGTTCTCCTCTCCTTTAAGACCAAGCCTCCCCTCCCCCCGCCTCCACTCACCTCCTGCTCTCCCTCCTGCAGTCCATGGTGCTCCTCCTGCACAGCCAGCGGCAGTACATCTTTGAGTTCGACAAGAACGACCGCCTCTCGTCCGTGACCATGCCCAACGTGGCCCGGCAGACGCTGGAGACCATCCGCTCCGTGGGCTACTACCGGAACATCTACCGGCCGCCCGAGGGCAACGCCTCTGTCATCCAGGACTACAGCGAGGACGGGCGCCTCCTGCACACCGCCTACCTGGGCACCGGCCGCAGCGTGCGCTACAGGTATGGGAAGCTGGCCAAGCTGGCCGAGCTACTGTACGACACCACCAAGGTGAGCTTCACCTACGACGAGACGGCGGGCATGCTCAAGACCGTCAACCTGCAGAACGAGGGCTTCACCTGCACCATCCGCTACCGGCAGATCGGGCCCCTCATCGACCGGCAGATCTTCCGCTTCACCGAGGAGGGCATGGTCAACGCCCGCTTCGACTACAACTACGACAACAGCTTCCGGGTGACCAGCATGCAGGCCGTCATCAACGAGACCCCGCTGCCCATCGACCTGTACCGCTACGACGACGTGTCGGGCAAGACGGAGCAGTTCGGCAAGTTCGGCGTCATCTACTACGACATCAACCAGATCATCACCACGGCGGTGATGACACACACCAAGCACTTCGACGCCTACGGCCGCATGAAGGAGGTGCAGTACGAGATCTTCCGCTCGCTCATGTACTGGATGACCGTCCAGTACGACAACATGGGGCGCGTGGTGAAGAAGGAGCTGAAGGTGGGGCCCTACGCCAACACCTCGCGCTACGCCTACGAGTACGACGCGGACGGGCAGCTGCAGACCGTCTCCATCAACGACAAGCCCCTGTGGCGCTACAGCTACGACCTCAACGGGAACCTGCACCTGCTCAACCCCGGCAACAGCGTGCGCCTCACCCCGCTGCGCTATGACCTGCGCGACCGCATCACGCGGCTGGGCGACGTGCAGTACAAGGTGGACGAGGACGGCTTCCTGCGGCAGCGCGGCGGCGACGTCTTCCAGTACAGCTCGGCCGGCCTGCTGGTGCGCGCCTACAACCGCGCGGGTGGCTGGAGCGTCAGGTACCGCTACGACGGCCTGGGCCGCCGCGTGTCCAGCAAGAGCAGCCACGGCCACCACCTGCAGTTCTTCTACGCCGACCTGAGCAACCCCACCAGGGTCACCCACCTCTACAACCACTCCAGCTCCGAGATCACGTCCCTCTACTACGACCTGCAGGGTCACCTGTTCGCCATGGAGTTGAGCAGCAGTGACGAGTTCTACATCGCCTGCGACAACATCGGGACCCCGTTGGCCGTCTTCAGCGGCACGGGCCTGATGATCAAGCAGCTCCTGTACACGGCCTACGGGGAGATCTACATGGACACGAACCCCAACTTCCAGATCGTCATCGGCTACCACGGGGGCCTCTACGACCCGCTCACCAAGCTGGTGCACATGGGCCGGAGGGACTACGACGTGCTGGCCGGACGCTGGACCAGCCCGGACCATGGGCTGTGGCAGCGGCTCAGTACCACCAACATTGTGCCCTTCAACCTCTACATGTTCAAGAACAACAACCCCATCAGCAACTCTCAGGACATCAAGTGCTTCATGACAGGTGAGGGTCGCGGCTCACCGGAAGCCCAGGCAAGGGCCTAAGTCGCTCTGGTCTGCTCTGATCACACTGCCTTCCTTCAGAAAACTGGGCCCTGAGGCCAGAGAGATAGTCCAGTGGGTAGAGCGCTTGCTTCGCTCACAGACAACCTGGGCTTGATCCCTGGGACCACATACGCTCCTGCTGAGTCCCACCAGGAATGATCCCTGAGTATAAAGTAAACTCTGAGTACTACTGGGTGTGTCCCAAAAGCCAAAAAAAAACCCCTAGCTTGGAGAGATAGTCCGGCAAGTAGAACTCATGCCTTGCACCTGGAGGACCCAGGTTCCATCCCTGGCATCCTTGAGCCAAGCCCTACCAGGAGTGATACCTGAGCTGAGCCAGGAGTTACCCCTGAGTACCACCAGGTGTGGCCCAAAAACCAAAAAAGAAAAAAGGAAACTGGAGTCAGTATGGCCAGGAAATGGGACAGGGGTGAAGGCAATTGCCTTAAATACATCCAAATCACCTTGTTTTTATCCTAGGCTCTGCATACCCCCCCAAAAAAAATATAGCCAGAAATGATCCCCTTTTTTTGGGGGGGGCAGTCACACCCGGCAATGCACAGGGGTTACTCCTGGCTCTGCACTCAGGAACTACTCCCGGCGTTGCTCAGGGGACCATATGGGATGCTGGCAATCGAACCCCGGTCAGCCGCGTGCAAGGCAAACGCCCTACCTGCTGGACTATCGCTCCAGCCCCCAAAAATGATCCCTGAGCACAGATCCAGGAATAAGCTCTGAGCATTAAACAAGTGTGGCCCAAATACAAAAACAAAACAAAACAAAAAATTGAAAGAAAACTGGGTTAGGATAACAGGAAATACTGCCCTTCTCTTAGCAGCTTTTTCCTAAGGTGTGTTTAAAGAAACCCTAGGTCAGAGAAAGGCCCGGGGCAGGCTGATGCTGGCAGAAACCACCCATCCTGCTGAACTCCCATAACACTGTCCGACTCACGAGAAGCACAGAGGATCCCAGCAGTCAGGGGAACTGTGGCTGGATTCGCCTGCTATTCCTCAACCTGTTCGTCCCATGAATCCCTTATATCCCAGTGGTTGAAAGTGTATTGGGGAGTTTCCAGCCCAGAGAAAAGACCAGCTATGAGCCCCCAGAAAGTTGGGGGTCATGGAGGGGATTGCAGGCTCTTATTTGGGATACCAGAATAGAAAACTCACATAGGCGACATATGACCAGGGAAAGGAGCCCCCACTTTTTTTTTTGCTTTTTTGGGTCACTCCCGGCGTTGCACAGGGGTTACTCCTGACTCTGCACTCAGGAATTACTCCTGGCAGTGCTCGGGGGATCATCTGGGATGCTGGGAATTATACCCGGGGCGGCCATGTGCAAGGCAAACGCCCTACCCGCTGTGCTATCGCTCCAACCCCAAGTAGACCCCACTTTTAAGTTATGACAGGCTAAAAAAAAATCACTGTAAACATCCCTGAATTCCAGTGTCCTGCTCTGCTCAAAACCTCTCGTCTGATATGTTGAATACGTCTAGTCTAAACCCTAGAGCAACCAAGCGAAATAAAATAAGTGGAGCTGGGAAGTTCAGCAGTGGGGGAGAAGTGGGAATCTGAGCAAGCATTCAGTCGTTCAGCCAAGCGAGGGCAGCAGTGGCTGACCCAGAGCACTGGGAGGCCCCTCCACCACCACCCGGGCCTCCTGAGCACTGCTTGGGAGTCCCCACTAACTCACCCCTAGAAGGCTCTGAAAATATAAAAAAAAAAAAAAACTAAAGCAAGGAGGTCAGGGATGTGGCTCAGTGGCAGAACACCTGACTTATGTGAGGTCTTGGGGTTTGCTCCCTGGCACTGAAAGGAAAGTGGGGGTGGCAGAAAGGGCCCACCAGGATCTATGAAACAAGCACCATGGACCAAGCACTACCTGGGCAGTGGGTGATCACGACACTCGCTGAACACCTGGGCTCCCAGAAGAACTCCTTGAAACTCTTCATTCCCCATTAAAAAAAAAAAGTATCTTATCCCCCCTTTTTCCCCAGAGTCCCGAGATGAGATACTCTCTAAACAGACTATGTCAGCAGCCCTGGGGCGCGTGCCAACCCTGACCCAGCTGCTTGGCTGGGGAGATAAACCACACAGCTGCATTGCATGAGCCCAGCTGCAACCCAGAGCCAGAGAGGACTCACCCACAAGCTCATGAGTATTCCCCCACCCCCAGAAGAGCGGGAAGGCAGAAGAACTGTTTGCAAGGCACAGACACCACGGGTTCACTATCTCTCACTATCACCCACTCCTGCTCACTGTCACTCACTCTTGCTCACTGTCTCTCACTATAGCTCACCATCACTCACTATTATTCACTATCACTTGTATAAACCCTTTTAGAGGCAGCCGGGGGAGCCCCTGATGATTCTTCCCCTAGCTGCCTGGGTTCGGGGGGGGGTCCCCGGGATGCTTACCCAGCCGGGGCGGCCCAAGCCATGGGGCTGGCGGTAGACGATACAAGGGCCAAGCCGGTTGATGGATCAGATGCCGTTTATTCCATTCTTCCCACGCGCCTGCCCCAGTCTCCCTGAGCCTCCCATTCTAGTCTCCACACTGCTCCTCATCCCTTCTCCCTCAGACTCTCCCACTGATCTCTCCGCACTCCATCTCGCAGCCTGGGCGCTCTCTCTCTCTCTCTCTCTCTCTCTCTCTCTCTCCACATGCCTGCTCCTGTATTCTTCACATTCTTCTTTCTCTGTCCCCCTTGCTAGCCTCTCTGCTGTCCATCATACTGTCCTGCTTTCTCTCTCTCTCTCCAGCTCTCTCTTCTCTCCAACTCCCCAGCACTCTGGGCTGACACTGCACCCAGTCAGGTAGTAAAATCAACATAAGAAAGCCCTTCCCGAGGGTCCACCAGATTCAAAGGGAATACCACTGAAGAGGTATTCCAAAGCCCTTCCTGATTGCCCAAGAGCAAAATACCCCTTACGGTGTTTTTCTCTTTTCCTTAGCCCAATAACTCTATCAACATCTTAATACTAGTATTTTTGTGTGGACACAGTAAGATAGAACTTTGTGGACACAGTAAGAGATAACATTGAGGCTTGTAGGGCAGCTCTCCTGGGAACATCTTGCCACAGACTCAGACTATAGCGCTCAGGCCAGATTCATCATTCTTAACCCTAGCAGGGTCCAAATCTAGTTAGTACTTTTTGGATCATGACAGCATTTGTCCATGACCAAGCTCTTAACTTATAGTTTAAGCATTATGGCGCTTTGGCCAGGCCCATCTTGATGCCTGGGTAGCACATAGCTTACCGCTTGCCCTGGTTCCATCCAGTCCCTCCTCAGGACCCTGCTTTTGGGGGCGCTAGGAAGTAAGGGCAGCTGAGGCTGAGGTGAGAAAAATGCCCAGGAGGAAAATATCACTGAGAGTCACATAACAAAAGCATACTGTCTTCTTGTGTCCGTACAAAAAGGACATTCATTGCTCTGAATAAACTATGCAAAGGACTTAGGGAGAAGAGAAAAACATTTATTTACAAGTCAAAGGGGCACAAAGAAAGAAGTTACAGATAAACACAGAGGAATGGGAGCACTGCGATGGGAGCAACCCAATATACCTAAACTACTAGGAAGGACAAAACCGTGTTATCCTACAATCACTCGTTATTATTCACTCGTATTCAACATCACTCACCCTTACTATCTCTCACTATTATTTACTATTCACTATTACTGTCATTGTCACTCACTATAATTCACTATTACTATACACTATCACCCGCTATCACTATCACTCAGTATTATTCACTATTATTCACTGTCACTTGCCGCTGTTCACTGTCACTATGTCTCACTGCTCCCCACTATTAGTCATTATGACCCACTGTCGCACACTATTGCTCACTACAATTTACTGTCACCGTCACTCACTGTCTCTCTCATTCACTGTCATTCATCCAGCCTGTAGCTGGGAAGGCGAGGCTCAGAGGAACACACACACCCCCGCCCAGAGAAGTAAAGTGAGGGCCAGTGTGGAGAGAAACAGGCCGGCAAATGGCTGAGCTGAGAACTCAGGCTCACACTCCCGTTCTTGGATCCAGAGTCTCTTTATAAAGCACAGGGCTGTGCGCCCGCCAAAGAACCCTTCCAGGGTGGGTCCAGACCCCCACACCGAAGTCAGGGTGGAGGGAGGTGTGAAAGATCTTTTCTTGCTGGAGGGCAGATCCTACCCCTGATCGCCTAAGAAAAAAGAGGAACATTCTTCACTCTTAGCAAAGCTCTATAGGAAGCACTGTCCACTGTAGCACTGTCCTCCCATTGTTCATCGATTTGCTCGAGCGGGCACCAGTAAGGTCTCCATTGTGAGACTTGTCCTTACTGTTTTTGGCACATCGAATACGCCACGGGGAGCTTGCCAGGCTCTGCTGTGCGGGCGGGATATTCTCAGTAGCTTGCCGGACTCACCGAGAGGGATGGAAGAATCCAACCCAGGTTGTCCGTGTGCAAGGTGTTAGGGCACGGATCGTGATCTCCCTTTAACGACAAAGAAACTCCAGAGACTGCAAACAGCAAGCAAGGTTTATTGTAAGACTGGCTAGCCAGGGTCAAGCCGCCTACACAGACACGCAGGTCAGTTAGGTGAGGCAAGACCCCGAACTTCTTCAAAGGGGATCTTATATAGGCCTTCACTGGCCGTTACAGCAAAGCCCGCGCATTTCATAGCCAATAGATTTGTAACAACATATGCTTTCTTAACCAATCCATGTAGAAGTACATCACTCCTTAGCCTATAGATTCAAGATCAGCATTTACGTACATAGGCATTGTGACTAGTGGGCATCAGGTAACTTGGACATTTGGTTATCACCTTGCTTCCTCTGATTCTCAGCCCTGCATTCCGGAGGTGGATAAGGGAAGAGTTCTTAAGGGAGGTAACAGATAAGGAGGACAGGAAAGGGAGAGTTACTAATTTATAGAGTTTTAACTCTGGAATCTCCCTCAGGGTCCCTAG